CCTTTCGAGGTCAACATATATATCATTCGATGCGGATTGACGAGAGGATCACGATGACGCCCTTAGTTTGTTCCTATCTTGACTAATTCGAAAGTTATTCGAGAAAAACTCTCTCCATATCTAGCGCCGCCATTTTGACTTTTTCGACCCCTGTGACGTCATCTTTGACCTGACCTGAAAATGACCTTTGTAAAAATTGTAGATCTTGGCCGTGCGTATCCGATGCCGTTTACCGCTTGTCGCTATCTTGCTTCGTTCTCGAGATCTCAGGGGGGGGGCCGAATCGGCCCCCCCCCCCGCCAGTTTCTTGTTCCGGCGGAGCCCGCCAGGAATAGGGTTAAGGTTCTAGGTCAGAGCAGTGTTAACAGCGGTGAATCAGCTGATTGGTGCTAAATGGTAGGAAATGTGAAATTGAAGTACGGAGCTTAGATTTTCTTCTCCCGACACTGAACAATAAAGGCCGCCCCACACTGGACCTCGCATGCGGGTTGCGAGTTTGCGGGTTTTGAGTTTGCGGGCATAATGCTAATTCATAGAGTGATTAGACCGTTCCTTTATGGCAACTTTATGAATGTAGTGAAGCCGGTACACCTTCAGAAAATTACACATAGTCGCAATACCAGCGCAACGAACCAAAATTCGGGTCCAACGAAAAACCCGCAAACCTCGCAGAACTCGCAGACCTCGCAGCGAGGAAAAGCGAAAGTTGACTCAAAATCAACTTTTGGAATGCGATGCAAGGTCGCTCGCAAGCTAAAAACATGCAGACTCGCCTGTTAATTGGTAGTGTGAGTCACTCAGCATAGATTGTATGATTTGAACTTGAATAAACCCGAAAACCCAAAAACTCGCAACCCGCATGCGAGTTCCAGTGTGGGGCGGCCTTAAGTTAAATGTTTCTTGTCAAATTCGTGTAAGGCTCCTAACAAAAACCTATTACAGAGAAGAATTTTTTAATAGTTCGCATTTTGACGGAGGGGGGGGGACAAATGTTGGCCACTGGGAGGGGAGCAATCCGCTCGACTGGTCTTGGTCTTACCTAACGGAGTCGTTGCACAGTGACACGGGGAGGCGCTTCTGGAGCCGCCTTAACCCGCGCCCTGCTGGGGGGGGTGGTGTTTGAACACCCCCCTTGTGGTTTTTCGCGAATATCTTAAAAACGGCGGTGCGGAGCGCCGCCGTTTTTGGTACACCTTATCATACATCAATTCTACACATGTTGTAAAAATTTCAGACCAAGGTCATTCAAGGTCAGGTCACCAGGTCACTTGAAGTGACCTCACCTCATAAAAACTTTCAATGTCTATCATAGCTACACCGAGTGACCGATGGCTATGAAACTTTCAGCGATTGCTAAGAGCAATAGCATGTACAAAATGTATATCTCAGAATTTTGATATCGATGACCTAAGGTCAGGTCAATTTTGCGACCTCCATTATAAGTCAATGGGAGAAAATTGAAATGCGCCTGTTTTGGATGAAAGACATTATAAACATCCCCAAACACCGAATTACAAGTGGTTTAGACACACTGAACATGAAAATGGTGTTCGTGACCCTTGTTTATGCCCTGAGGTCATCTTAGTTCACGAATGGTATCTAACAGTTTTTCGCAAATAACTTTTGATAGAGGCATGCTAGATCGATGAAAACGCCTTAGATGTGTTCAGCTCGACGATACGGATCGACTGATATGCAACATGACCCTTTCCGGTCAGGTCACGATCTTGACCTGAGGTCAAATTTTCAAGTTGACCTTTCAAGGTCAAGTTATAGTTCATTCGATGCGTCTTGATGAGAGGAACACGATGCCGGTAAAAGTAAGCTCGAACTTTCGACATTCGACCTGGAAATCGGCGAAATTTTGCCTTCAATGCTCTGGTGACCTGACCTTTGACCTGACCAAAAAATTGACCGAAGTGATTTCGTCATCATTTTTGACGCTCTTTCGAACGCCGCCTTCCGCGTATCGCTACGTGGCCCAGGAGCCGAGTTACAAGGGGGGGGGTGTTCAAACACCCCCCCCCCCCAGCAGGGCGTGGAAACTGGAAATCCAGGACCCCCAGCCGGGCGCGGGTTAACCCGCGCCCTAGTGGCGGTCTCAGCCAACTTCGCCCTAGTGGCGGGGGGGGGCATATGTTACCACCCACCTCTAACTAAAAAACTAAGAGGGCTAGAAAGACGCAGTAAAAAGCAGTCGATAGCTCTCAATGCGTACGTTTGAAAGTATTTCGGTCATTTTTCGCCTTGGAGCAATATTGGGGTCACTGGAGGTCATCAAAGGTCAAAATTTGCCAAATGTCTTTACATTTTTCAGAAAACATGCATTTATCACAGGAACTATGATAGCTAGAAAAACGCATGGAAAAGCAATCGATAGCTTTTGAACTCTTCTTTTGATAAGTTCACATCAAAATTGACCTCAGGTCAACGGTTTAGCCTCCAGAGGGCAAAAACGCAAAAAAATAGCTGTTTTTTTCGCGAAGTGTTTTTCGACAATAACTTTTGACTAGAAAAAGCCACGACATTTCCATTGCCAGAATTGTGTTCCTCTCGACGAGACGCGTCGAATGAACTATAATTTAACCTTGAAAGATCAACTTAAAAATTTGACCTCAGGTCAAGGTCATGACCTGACCGGAAAAGGTCATGTTGCATATCATTCGATGCGTCTCATAAGACAAACGCAATGAGGCCATCCCCAGCGTCCTATCTCTTTCCAATCGAGAGTTATTGGCAAAAATCTGTTTGTAGCCTCAAATGACTTCGGATGACCTTTCTAGAGGCTATCAGCAAAAAAGACACCTTGGTCGTCACGGGTGGTCCAAATCATTGTGATTCTCAAATATTTGGACTGTTCCTATGCGTACACACGGATCTACAGGCATGTTTATTTTTCTCCGTTGACTTATAATGGTAAGGGCACGCCTCTGACCTGACCTTAGGTCACGGATATAAAAAAAAATCCGAGATATACAAATTGTAGGCGCCCATAACATCATGCAATCCACCACGTTTAAAACCTTTCTGACAAACACTGCAGGCTGGACATGATTGCAAACTTTTTTTAGGCCTGGTCAGTTAACTTGACCTGGTGACCTGACCTGACATGACCTGGGGTAAAAAATTTCACACATTGTCCAAAATTGATGTACAGGGTGTTTCATAAAAAATGTCCTGATTTGTTTTGCTTATAACGAAAAATCTAATAGTCACATATCCAGCCACAATGGTTCAAACGATTCCACAAGGAATGGAGATTTATTACATACATATCACGAACATGAATCATGCGTTCAGCGCCGCTCACAGCACGTTCTCGAGATGTCCTCCTTTTCGGAGCAGACATACGTCGGCCCGTTTCGCCACGTGCCCGATAACTCGGGCGCATGTGGCGGGCGTGATCGCACGCACCTGGCGTCTGATCGCCCGCTTGAGCTCTCCGAGACTCCCCGGGCTCCCGCTGTACACTCTGGACTTAAGAAAACCCCACAGGTAAAAGTCGAGGGGTGTCAGGTCAGGGGAGTGAGGGGGCCAGGGAGTGTCCGTTCCGCGGCTGATGATCCTCTCTCCGAGACGCTCCTGGAGCCACTGGAGGGCCATCTTCGAGGTGTGCGGGGTGGCCCCGTCCTGTTGGAACTAGATATCGTCACCACCTGAAGTCGAGCCTTCTTGCACTGTGGCCCAGAAGCGTTCCAGGATGCGGACATAGCGTTCCTTGTTCACCGTTTGAGTGCACCCGTTGCCGTCTTCGAAGAAGAATGGCCCGATTATTCCGGTGGAGCTCATTGCGCACCACACAGTCACTCTCGGGCTGTGCAGTGGGACTTCCATCAACGTTTCGGGTGGTGCCGAGGCCCATATACGGCAGTTCTGGGTGTTCACCTGTCCAGTAAGGTGGAAGTGGGCCTCATCGCTAAACCAGACCCCATCCAAGAAGCCAGGATTAGCGGCAGTCTGGTCCTTGACCCACTTTACGAAGGCCACTCTCTGATGTTTGTCGTTCTCCGACAGCTTGTGATGCACTGTCACTTTATATGGGAACAGTTCGAGGTCCTTTCTCATTATTCTCCGCACCGTTGAGTGGCTTGTGCCAACTTCTTGGGCGATTTTCCTGATGGACTTCTTGGGGTCCCCATTGACTACGGACTTCACCTTGGCGATGTTTTCGGGGGTCCTTTGTGTCGTTGGTCGTCCACTTTTCCCTTTGTAGCAATTGAGGATAGACCCATCTCTAAGGAACTTTTCTTGCAAACGCAGGATTGTTTTCGGGCACGGTGTGAATCGGGTTTTGAAGTGAGCCCTAAACTGTCGCTGTGTTAAAGTGATAGAACGAGACGACCAGTAAAACTGAACCAGTTTTGTTTTTTCTTCCTTACTCAGATGCTTCATGGTGAGAAGTGAGCTAAGGTGCGTGAGGAAAATTTCCCGTGCACGTGCTATCGATTGCAGTGAAAAAAACACGTGATTGCAATTAATAGGGCACCCCAAAATGCAATCAAAACCAGGACATTTTTATGAAACACCCTGTACATACAAAAAGCTATGCCAAGCGGCACGGAGCTACGCGCCGCGGTTTTTATTTATACGCAAAAAAACGCGACAGGGTGGTAACATATGCCCCCCCCCCCACTGGGGCGAAGGTTAAGTGTGATGTCGTCGTCGATCCTGCCCTGGTGATCTCTTGAGAGGCGAGCTGCGGTCTGTAGACTGTATTGGAGCGAGTCCGAAAGCACACTGACCCCACCATGCCAGCAACACACGACATCGACCTCACACACACACACACATACAACGAACAACCAATCAGGTGCCGCTTACACCTGATCACGTGATCGGCCTGCCCCGCGGCGGCAGGCCGGACGGCCCGGCCGCGGCCCGCACGGCTCGGCTGCGGCCCGCACTGCGACCCGACAGGGGCAGGATACTATGCCGCCGCACCGACTGGGCCAGCTCACAACATCTCCCCCCTCTTCAGGACTGCCGGCGAGGCAGTCCAATCAGTGGTCGTCGAAGCCCAGGCGGTTCGGCGGCCGTCTCTGACGAGCGCCTCTGCGCAGAACCGACTCCGGTTCCAGCTGAAACCGGACTCGGCGTCGCGGCGCAGTGGCCGGTTCCTCTGATGGCGTCCTCCGTGGTCCTCCGCGACCCTGGTGGTCTGCTGACGGCGTCCCAGCCGCCTCCAGTGGCAGCTGGAGCGATGACCGGATGAAACGCCTGTTACGCCAGAGGACTCTGTCGCTCGGAGTTTTGACCAAGTAGTCCCTGTGGTACCCGACACCGACGATGGTACCGAGCTTGTCCCAGCGTTTGCTGATCGGATCTTGTATCCTGACGTGCACCCCAATCTTCATCGATGGCAGCGTATGTGCCGAAGAGTTGTAGTGTCTCTGTGCCTGGTTGAGGACTTTGGCCGCTTTGGAGTCACACTCGTCGGCATGCTGCTGCCATTGAACAGCAAATGTGCTGTGATGAGCCGGAACGCAGGAGCGAATAGGGTGACCGAAGACCATCTGTGCTGGCGAGCGTCTATCGGCTCGAGGCGTGTTCCTCAGTTCTAGAAGTCCTCGATAGAACATGTCATTGAACGAGCCACCCTCAGTTGTCTTGGAGACCAGGTGCTTTAGCAGTTTCACTGCTGACTCCGCGTGACCGTTGGACTGGGGGTAGTACGGAGTCGAGATGACATGTTGCACACCCCATCGTTTGAGGAAGTTGGCTACTTCTCGGCTCTTGTACTGAGGACCACCGTCTGTTCGCAGCCTGACGGGAACCCCCAGTGAGACGAAGGCTTCTCGGAGAGCCTTGATGATTTGACGGCTTGTCGTGTCGCCCCGTGGGAGTTGATGGATGATCGGCCAGCCAGAAAGCCTGTCTACGTAGACGAAGTAGTCTCTGCCAGCATGGGAGAAAAGGTCGGACGAGACATCCTCGAAAATCCTTGATGGGAGAGGTTCAGTTGCCATCGGCTCTTGAGGAAGACTGGACCGGCGTTCTTGACAGGCGGCGCAGTTGCCGACTGTGTTGACGATGTCGCTGGTTATGCCAGGCCACCAGACTGTTTGGCGAGCTCGTCTCTTGGAGCGCTCGATGCCCTGGTGAGCATCGTGGAGAGCCTCGAGGGTACTCTTCCGAGAGGCGTGGGGGATGAGGATGCGACAACCTTTCAGGACCAGTCCATCATGCGAGGAAAGTTCGTGGCGAACATTCCAAAAAGGAAGGAGAGGGCGGGGAAGCATGTTTTTCGAAGAAGGGAAGCCCTTAGAGACAGCGAGCAGGAGCTGCTGGTAGACTTCATCTTGCTGTGCTGTCCTTCTCAACTCGTCGAGTCGAGGGTCTGGGAGATGTGGAGGCTTGCTGGAGACCTCACTGATGACAGCGATAGACATGCAGTGGACGTGGTGTTCAATAGAGTGGATGAGCAGTCCATCTTCAGGCGTTGGTTCTTCAACAGGGAGCACGTGACAGCGCATCGGGAATGACGTGCTCCTTTCCTTTTTGCCACACCGCTGTGAAGTTGTAGAGACTGGTCTTCTCTTTCAGCCGTTGTAGCCTCGGGTTCTCGACTGCGTCCAGGGTGTAGTCGTTCATGATCGTTATCAGTGGCCGATGGTCAGTGACGACAGTGAAGTGTGGCAGCATCGACGTCTTGTCAGCGCTTCCCTACGATCTAGATCTTCGCCGCCAACGTAAGTTACACGCTCTACACTTAACGTAATTTTCGCACTTGCCTTTTTCCACACGCACGTTCTCACCTACAACAGCACACTAGCACACACCACTGACATCCACCCACAGCACCACCCTACAACACCACCTTCCCAACACCCACACCTCTACACCAACATGCCTGTCATGTCCTCCCACCTCCCTAACCCTGGTCCTTCCGCCCAATCCTTCATCCGCTTCCGGCTCCTGGACGGGTCACCCATGTCCGGGCTTTCGCCCTGGGCCGTCGAGGACGCCTTCGTCGGGGCGGTCGGACGCTGTCTCAGCGCCCGGCCGCTCCGCGGTGGCGACTTGCTGGTCCGTTGCGATCCGGGGGAGCGTCAGCAGCTGCTGGCGATCACCCGGGTCGCGGGGGCGGAGGTCCGGGCATGGGCCCCTCCTCACCTCAACCAGAGCCAGGGTTCCATCTTCGCCCCATCCCTCCAACCCCTCTCTATCCCGGAGCTGGAGGAGGGCTTTCGCCGCGTGGGAGTCCGCGGGGTGTATCGCCCTCCCCGCTCTCCCAAAATCCTTATCCTCACCTTTGACACGCCCCAACCGCCGGCCTCCGTCAGGGCCGCGTACCTGTCCTTCCCCGTCCGCCCTATCCCCCCAAACCCCTCCGCTGCCGTCGGTGCCAGCGTTATGGCCACCGCCAGCAGCACTGTCGTGCCCCCCATCCCGTCTGCTCCTCCTGTGCCCAGGAGGGGCACGACTCCCCATCCTGCTCCAGCCCCTCGGTGTGCTGCGCCGGGTGCGGCGACGAGCACCCCTCGACCGACCCCGGCTGCCCTCGGTGGCTGGCGGAGTGCCAGGTGTCCCTCCTGATCCGTCAGGGCTGGGAGCCCAGGGACGCCCGCCACTACGTGGCGACCCATCCGGACGCCGACCCTACCATCATCCCCTCCAACTCTGACTCTGTCCGCCGTCCTCCCCCCAACAACCACTCCGAGTACCCCCCTCTCCCTCAGAAGCCTAACTACATCCCACCTCGCCCGCCCACCCCCCGCTACCCTCCTTCCTCCGGCCGGTCGACTCCCAACGCTCCCCCTCCGCCCCCTCCCCGACCGGCCAGCGCGGCCAGGTCCCCTGCTGTGCCGCCGCGGCCCCCTCGGGCCGCCGGTGCCGACTCTCACGGCACCCCTGCACCTCCTCCACCTCCCCGCGAGCGCCCGGCGCCCCCGGCTTCCCAGCCGAAGGAGACAGACAAGAGTCAGGCGCCGGTCCGTAGCGGGCTGTCAAACTCCGACTCCAACCTCACCGACTCCAACACCACTACCGACCACTCATCCACGCCCAGCCCCACCACCCCGCCGGGCCGCCCACGCCGCACCAGACTCCAGTCGGCACCCGCCGAGTCACACACCTACACTCTCAGACAGAAACACTAAGTAGTCTCACATGTGCATAACGCCCCACCACGCCAGACACTACACTGACACGTCCTTGCTACAGTGGAACGTCCGGGGTATTCCAGAAAATTGGCATGAATTAAAACAGGCACTTATCAAATTTCAAAAGTCAATTTACTGCCTCCAAGAAACTCATCTAAAACCAACTGATCCATACAACTTCAATCTTCGAAATTACACTCTTATCAGAAAAGACGCTCCAACAAATCCGGGAGGAAGGAGAAGAGGCGGAGTCTGCGCGTATATCGAGAATCACATTCCCTTCAAAATTATTAACCTAGCAACTAACTTTGACATTCAAGCTATAGAAATTAAAACAACTAGACGATACATAACCATAGTTAACTTTTACGCCCCTCCAGGGGTAGTTTTTGATGAATTTACGACTGACCTTGAAAGAATATTAAATAACTTAACTACTCCCATAATATTATGTGGTGATGTAAACGCGCACCATCCACTTTGGGACAGGTCCAGACAAAACCCGGATTCAAAAGGCCAAGCCTTCAGCGAACTTTTAGACAGACAAAATTTAAACTTAAGCAATGACGGATCCCCGACCTTCCCTGTAGCAAGACAAACACAACACAACGACACAACTCCGGACATCTCAGCCACATCACCAACACTTACACTCTATACAACATGGCACACATCCCCAGACCCTCTCTGTTCTGATCACCTCCCCATACACATCACAATACACCACTCCACCACACCTCCCAACAGAATCACCAGATTTAACCTTAAAAAAGCCAACTGGACAGCATTCACCGAACACATTGACAAATCAACTCCAAACAACCCAACAGCCTCCCAACTAACAGACATTATCACACAAGCAGCCAACCAACATATACCAAAAACCAAAACAAACCATCCTCGTCCCAAATCCGCTCCATGGTGGGATTACAACTGTCAACGCGCCATCACATTCAGAAATACGGCAAGGCACAGATTCGAAAAACACAGGACAGAGGAAAATCTTCTGGTTTACAAAAAAGCAAAAGCAAGGTGCCGTAAAATAATTAAGGAAGCTAAAAAATCATCTTTTCAAGACATTTCAAGCTCATTCAATAGATTCACTCCACTATCAAAAATTTGGCAAACTATAAAAGCTTTCAAGGGATACAAAGCACCAATCAACAAAGCTTCATACATAATCTACAACAACATCACATACACAACACCAGACGAAATTTCCCAACAATTTGCCAACCATTACAACGAAATTTCATCACAATGTCCAGTTCCTATTCCTCTACATATCCCACACCACACAGACCATCTCCCATACAATCTACCATTCACCCTCACCGAGCTAGAAAACGCACTAAACCGAACCGGCAACACAGCACCAGGCCCAGACGAAATTCACTACCAGTTTTACAAACACTTAGGAAAAAGAGGCAAAACACTTTTACTCCACGCACTAAACCACGCATTTACCTCACATACATACCCAGAGACATGGTTCCAAGCACACATCATTCCAATACAGAAACCACAAAAAGACGCGACCTCCTTATCGAGCTACAGACCAATATCCTTAACCCGCGCCCGGCTGGGGGTCCTGGATTTCCACGCCCTGCTGGGGGGGGGGGTGTTTGAACACCCCCCCTTCTAACTCGGCTCCTGGGCCACGTAGCGATACGCGGAAGGCGGCGTTCGAAAGAGCGTCAAAAATAATGAGGAAATCACTTCGGTCAATTTTTTGGTCAGGTCAAAGGTCAGGTCACCAGAGGTCATTGAAGGCAAATTTTCGCCGATTTCCAGGTCGAATGTCGAAAATTTCCAAGAAGCCAACGCATAACTCGGGAACCAATAGAGCTACAGCGCCGCGGAAAAGCGCATTCGATAGCCCTATTAACGCCCTTTCTGAATATTTTTCTCAGATTTGACCTAACGTCAACGGTTTTGCCTGCAGGGGGCAAAAACTGCAAAAATAGCCGATTTTTTCGGAAACAGTTTTTCTGCAATAACTTTTGACCCAAGCATTGTACGAGCTTACTTTTACCGGCATCGTGTTCCTCTCGTCAAGACGCATCGAACGAACTATAATTTGACCTTGAAAGGTCAACTTGAAAATTTGACCTCAGGTCAAGGTCATGACCTGACCGGAAAGGGTCATGTTGCATATCAGTCGATCCGTATCGTCGAGCTGAACACATCTAAGGCGTTTTCATCGCTCTAGCATGCCTCTATCAAAAGTTATTTGCGAAAAACTGTTAGATACCATTCGTGACCTAAGATGACCTCAGGGCATAAGCAGGGGTCACAGACACCATTTTCATGTTCAGTGTGTCTAAACCACTTGTAATTCAGTGGTTGGGAGTGTTTATAATGTCTTTCGTCCAAAACAGGCGCATTTCAATTTTCTCCCATTGACTTATAATGGTGAGGTCGCAAAATTGACCTGACCTTAGGTCATCGATATCAAAATTCTGAGATATACATTTTGTACATGCTAATGCTCTTAGCAATCGCTGAAAGTTTCAAAGCGATCGGTCACTCGGTGTAGCTATGACAGACATTGAAACTTTTTATGAGGTGAGGTCACTTCGAGTGACCTGGTGACCTGACCTTGAATGACCTTGGTCTGAAATTTTCACAACATGTGTAGAATTGATGTATGATAAGGTGTACCAAAAACGGCGGCGCTCCGCGCCGCCGTTTTTGAGATATTCGCGAAAAACCACAGGGGGGGGGTGTTCAAACACCCCCCCCCAGCAGGGCGCGGGTTAACAAACACTATCCACAAAATTTTTGAGCGTATCATCAAACACCGCCTCCTCTTCATCATTCAGACCCAAAACCTGATCATCCCACAGCAAAGCGGCTTCCTCCCTGGCAAAAACACATTAGACAACATAGTATCCATCACAGCAGACATAAAACACAGTCTACACATGAACCGAACCACTGCAGCTCTATTCCTCGACCTTAAAAACGCATATGACACCCTAAACACCTCCTTTCTCCTAAATTATCTCCAGCACAAAATATCCGGACACCTCCTACATTATCTCAACAATTACCTAACCCGAAGATCCTTCCAAGTCAAATACCTGAATTCCTTATCTAACCCCAAAACTCCCACATCAGGATTAATGCAAGGTTCCGTCCTTAGCCCAATCCTCTTTATCATAGCTCTAAACTCAACCCTAAAAAATGTCCCATCCCCCTCCAAAATTGCACTTTATGCAGACGATATCGCCATTTGGACAACCTCGAAACACCAAAACAATGCCCTACAACAACTCGACAAAGCCCTCCAGCATGTTCACCAAGCACTGCAACCGCTCAACCTACATATATCTCCCGAGAAAACCAAATGCGTCCTTTTTAGCAACCATAAACCACACCTTCCCACACCCCTATCCATCAACGGACACGAAATTCCAATAGTTGAAGAAGCAAAATTCCTCGGCATAACTTTAGATCGCCCACTAACCTTCCAGACACACATCTCCAACACCGCCACTAAAGCATCCAAAAGACTAAACATTTTAAAAGCACTATCAGGCACCGACTTTGGAGGAGACACCCACACACTACTTAAATTGTACAAGTCCTTAATCCGTCCTATCCTTGAATACGGAGCCATCGCCTTTGACAACGCAGCCAAGACACACCTTAGAAAACTAGACGTCATCCAAAATTCAGCACTTAGAATCTCCACGGCAGCATTATCCACCACACCAATCACCAGCCTACATGTATATACAGACATTGAAACACTGGCACAACGGAGAATCATTGCACTATTCAGATACTTCTATAAAATACAAAAGATCCCAGACCACCCTTGCACCTCACTAATCAGATTCCGGTCACATCCACGATTCATCAACAAGAAAAGGCAACGCAGATTTGCCTACGGTACAAGCATCACAAAACACTCACGAACAATGAACATCACACTCCCCACAATCACACCTACACAGCGCCCGGTGGCGTGGTGGGCCCAAGAATACCCAAAGCTCTTCCTTCTCCTCGATAACAAGAAATCCTCCTACAGCAACATCGAAATACAATCCCTTTTCAACGAGTTCATGGCACAATTCCAAAACTACACCCACTTCTACACAGACGGAAGCAAAATTAACGAACTTACAGCGGCGGCGACGATCAGTCGTACAGGAGCACGCGCTAACACGACGGTAAGAGCCAGACTGCCTAACGGCACGTCAATCTTCTCTGCCGAACTCTTTGCAATAAGGGCAGCATTTCAAAAAATCAAAAACAATAATATAACTCGAGCGATAATTATCTCCGACTCACTATCAGCCCTCCAATCAATATCTACAAACATATCACAATGTCATCCCCTTATTACAGATATCTTTCAAATAAAAAGCACACTAAACCAGCTACCGATACTTCTCTGGATCCCTTCCCACACTGGCATCCCTCTTAACGATTATGTAGACAAATTAGCTAAAGAAGCTCTCACTTTAGAAAACATCACAAACATACCTCCAAATCCAGATGACTTTCTCACAAAATTACCTAAACAATTAAAAGCGATCAATCAAACATTCTGGGACAAAACCAACACAGCCTTAAAACAAATACACCCAAAAATAGAACCATGGAATTCAATCCACCAAACATCAAGAAGACGAGAAAGATGCCTGGCCAGACTACGTTTTGGACATACAAAACTAACACACTCTTTCATTTTTCTAAATCAAAATCCCCCACAGTGCCCTAATTGCAATGTCCGACTCACAGTTAAACATCTACTATTAGACTGCCCAATCTACAATCAAGAAAGACACACAATCATTAACTATAGCAATAGCAACAAAATCCCCCTAAACCTAACAAATATTCTCGGAGATAATTATCCTCAATTATTGAATCTTCTTTTCGATTTTCTCTCGCAAACCGGCCTAGAAAATAAAATCTAAAACATCTCCATTTAATGGAGATAAATCCTTAAAAAAAAGGAGGAAAAAAAAGTCTTCCTCTAC